TTTTGGTTGACCCTCCACCCACGCCTAATCTTGATAGCCCACATCCCTACTTAAACCCTTCTACCCCCAGGACTTACTCTTTCACTTTCATGTCACATGTGATCTTTGAGACTGGATCTTGTTACATGGCTCAGGCTGGCCTCCAACTAAACATATGTTCTAGATTGACTGGTATTGTGCCAGCATGCCTAATTATTTGCTTATTTTCTAGTGACTGCCTAGATTCTGGTACATTTGTATCTCCTTCTATTACTAGGTTTCTGATTTTGAGTCTTGTTTCTAACAATGCTGTGGAGCCTAAATTGTTCTACAAACTAAGCAAAGCAAAGTGGGCCTCCTTCAGGGATAGTTTCTTTGTATCCAGTCAGTGTTGTTTGGTTTTTGTTTTCTTTTGTTTTTTAATTATTTATTTAATAACTACATAATTAGAAGAAGCATTTCATTACAACAGCATTGACATATTCAATAACAATTTCCAGAGTTAAGATGCATCTCTTTCAAAATTGGCTGTAAATTTTTAGGTTTACAGTTGAATTAATACAGTTATACAATATTGTACTCTGTATAAACCCTATGACATAAAATTGAATGAGGTTTTAACCTTTAAAAAAGAGCTCCATTTCATTATTAAAATACACAGTTTCATACAGAAAAATTCATTTTTAATGCAATTAACACTTAGATGTTTGCACCTGTTCCTAATCTCTATTTATCTGATTATTACTAGTCACAGTTGGTTACTTTCTGAGTGCCTTGGCATCTGAGCATGGATATAAAGTCATCAGGTAGATTTCAATGGCATTTTTCACATCTACTAATTAATGAGCAAATTTTTAATTTTTTAAAAAACTTAATAACTACATGATTAGAAGAAGCAGTTCATTTTACAGCTTTAACATATTCAGTAACACATTACAGAGCAAGGATACATCTCTTTCAAAAGTGTCTGTAAAATTTTAGGTTCACAGTGGAATTAATACAGTTATACAATATTAAACTCAATATAAACCCTGCAAGACATAAAATTGAATGAGTTTTTACCCTTTAAAGAAGATCTCCATTTCATTTTAAAATATGCCGTTTCCTACATTTTTTTAATGCTACTAGCACTTAGATGTTTGTACATATGTCTTTAATCTTTATGTATCTGATTATTACTAGTCACAGTTGGTTATACTCGGATCCTTAATACCTAAGTATGGATGTAAAGTCATCAGGTAGATTTCACTGGTAATGTTGATCACCTCTACTATTTAACATGAAGTAAATTTTTATGCTTCCTCCTCAAATTGTCTTTTTAAAAAATTCGTTGATTTTTTTTTGTGTGTGTATATCATACAGAACATCCCACACAATCTTACTCATCTATATACCCACTTCCCAAATGGCACCCTCCCATAGCCTCCTCCCTCCCACACACTGGAGCCCATTTGTGCTGTCATCCCAGTTACTGTCCACTGTGTTGTATCAAGTCAATATTGACAGTTTTTTTGTATCAAGTCAGTATTGATACTTCTTTGGCCCTAGGAGAGATGCTCCTGGTTCTTCCCTGAAGGATGTATATTCCTTAAGTCCTGAATCTCTTCCCAGTTGTCTTTCATGAGTCACCATTGTTCTTGATAATGCCTTAGATTTGAGGTTCTCTATAGTCTATTGTACTAAAAGTTAACTTTCTTAGGAAGAGATTTGGAGGTAGTTGTATTATCCTGCCTTTCTTCTCCGCTAAGCAGAATATATGAGCCAAGGTTCTGAATGCAGGGGTGAAAACATTGGTAGGCTTCTCTCTGGGTGACACCCCAACTTTAGGAACTGAATATTGGGTTGTGGAAGATGACCTGATGCACTCTTGGCTGGCTTCGCACCATGGAATCACAACTTCATGGGCCAGGGCACAGGTGATCAGTGCCCCTTAGTATTGTCTTGTCAGTGTGCTGTCCCAAAGTAGATCCTTCATTCCACAGTTGGGTTTAAGTGAAAGAACAGTGTCCTTGCTCCTTGACTGCAGTGTCTAGAACTTAGCCTCAGTAACAGGAAGCTGGAGGCTTGGTGAGAAACACCGATCATCTTTTTCCTCCTGGAGAAAAAGTCCTCCCTTTGGGAGCTACAGCAGTCCAGAGTAATCTGCCTCCCCTGAGCCTGTTCAGAGAGAGGGAGCCATTATGATTGAAATTCCAGACTTGGGCTTCTTATCAGATATTTACAGAATTTCTTGGATGTTTCTTTATTTGTTGTTTGTCTTTAGGACCATTCCAGAGACTTTGTTTTGGTTTTAGTTTTCTTTTAAAGCATTTTCCTCACATTTCACTGGGGAGCAGGTCAGATGAGCTCCTCATGATGCCCAGCATAATGTCAGTCTTCCTAAGGTTAGTATTTAAGTTTTCTACAGCAGGAGGAAGCATAGGTAGCTTGCCCAAGAGGGCTAGTTTTCTGAGAGCCTCAGTAGGAGAACTGACATTTTTTAGTTGATAGGTTGACAGGAGATGGTAGGAAAGGAAGATCAAAGCAGGGCATAAGCAGCCGGGATTCCTTTTGGGACTCCATTGTTGGGACACCTTTTGTGTTGGAGGTTATTAAAAAAAAAGGCTTGGTTGGCACCAGAGAGATCGCTTAATGGTAAAGAGCACTGGCTACTCTGGGCAGAGGACCCAGCACCCACTTGGAGGCGAACAACCAAAACTCCAGTTCCAGGGGATCACATGCCTTCTTCTGGACTCCACAGGCATTGCATGTACCCATGCACTTACAAGGAGGCAAAACACTCATACAGGTAAAAGTAAATACACATTTAAAAAATAGATAAAAGCTTGGTCTTAAAAAGCTTTGAAACCCTAATATTTTTAGAAATATGAATGTATAGATTCTTTTTGCTGGCTTTCTGAACAAACAGCTTTATCCTGTCTAATGTATTTTTATGTTTAAATGTTCTTAGCAAAACACTGGAAAGCATTTATAAATTCAAGTTAGACTGTATACCATATAACATTCAACTTGTACTCCTGTGAGAATTTTGACTTTATACTTGACAAGCAGAATTGATTCTTAGAGCAGCTGTGATTTAGCTAAATAGCTTGGATCATTAAATTTGAAGTTTGTAGTGTATGCAGTGATGTTTGTAATTTTTTTAAGAGTAACAGGATTTTATGTTTTCAGAAACTGTAAGAGTTATATGCTCAAAGAACTCAAGTACAGCATTGTAATAATATGATAAGTTTAGTTCCTAATCTTTTTCCGCTTCAAAAAATTAGTTGTGTGTCTTAATCAAATGACTTCCAAAGCAAGTTAGTATATTTTGGAGACACTGAAGGGCATTCTGCTTTCCACACTACTTCAGAAGCAGAAAACAATGAGCATTGTCTTTATACCTACTTCCTTCAAAATGGATCATTATTTGAAGTTTGTAGTGTATGCAGTGATGTTTGTAATTTTTTTAAGAGTAACAGGATTTTATGTTTTCAGAAACTGTAAGAGATATATGCTCAAAGAACTCAAGTACAGCATTGTAATAATATGATAAGTTTAGTTCCTAATCTTTTTCCGCTTCAAAAAATTAGTTGTGTGTCTTAATCAAATGACTTCCAAAGCAAGTTAGTATATTTTGGAGACACTGAAGGGCATTCTGCTTTCCACACTACTTCAGAAGCAGAAAACAATGAGCATTGTCTTTATACCTACTTCCTTCAAAACATTTTTCCTTCATTCGTGTTTACTGGAAAAACCATAAAACAGCACAGCACCCCCTCACCCGTCAGCATCTTTCAGAATAAGCCATAAGCACACACAGCACACTAAGTGACTGTCTGATAAAGAGTGTTCGATCTGCTAGGATCTAGGATCTGAAACCAAGTAGAAAAAGAAGCATAGGAGTTGGGTTCACTAAGGAGCCAGGAAAAGTCCAGTTGGAACCAAAGACCTGAAGTCAAGAACAAGCATGGTGCCTTCTTGGAACAGGAGGTATCGGTATCTTCCTGGACACAAAAGCTTGTATTAAGAGAACTTATTATTGGAGAGACTAATGATGGACTTTGAGTGAGAAACTAAGAATCTCAGCATCTCTCAGGATCAGCCGCTCTCTACCTCTTTCTGTTTATGTGTATGTGAGTGGTCTCTCTGTTACCCAGGCTGGTCTCAAAGGTTCAAATGATCAAGAGCCCTTAACCTCTTAAGTAGCTTGATTACAGAGGTATGGCACCATGACCAGGTGATTTTTTTTTTTAAACCTTAAGAATAATTAAATGTCATGGTTAGGGTGACTTGAAAATTATAGAGCTTCAAGCTCTAATGGAGGAGTTTGAGTTGTGTTTCAAATTAAAGTTATTTTAAAGCCTATAATTTATAATTCAGCACAGGTATCTCCGTAAGATCAAGGTTATTAGCAGTAACGCATACAAGTGTTCAAATAGTTCATAACTAGCTAAGAAGTTACTAGTTTGGGCTTTGATGAGATTCTAGCTTGAATTTTGATTTGATCACTGCTGTGTCGAGTTTAAGTCTTTAACCTAGAGGGAGCGAGCAGTAGCACCCACTGGAGTGTGAGCATTAGGATAGTGCATGGAAACTGATTCCACCTCAACATCTTCAGTGATTGCCTTTGCTGATGTTAACTAGTTCTGCTATTACTATTATTATTATTATCATTATGTGATCACTGTCACTTTGTGTCCATGAACAGGAAATTCTCAGTTTTGATATTGTACTGTAGGACCATCCAAAGACTCTCTCCATACAGACTTCAGGGCCTCTGGGCTCCCTCTAGGTTTCCCTTTCTATGTCCTGTGTGTCCTGGGCTTGTCAGTGAAGGCATGCCACAAAGCCAGGACTCCTGGGTGCAACAAAGGCGGCACCTTTGGCTGCCAGTTATGAGGAAGTGTGCTCAGCTTTGGTTTAGTAGAGCACATGTTGTATTAAATGTTTCAAGTCTTTTAAAAACAGGTTCGTGTTATTATGCTCTAAACTATGAAGTTTATTATCCAGAAGTTTAAACTTATCTTTACTTTTGTCAGGTTTAAGCCGTTTTTTCCGTACCAGACCTTGCAAGGAGTTGAAGAGGATGAAGAACACATCCATATACAGCAGTGGGCCCTTACTGAAGGCCGTCTTAAAGTCACATTGTTAGAATGTAGCAGGTACGTTCTTTGTTTTTCTACTTACCAGATCATAGACAAGAAGATGTGAAGTGTACTTAAGGGATGTTAGTGTTTATTCTCTTTTTGTGTTAATTTATGTTACATTATTTACCTATAAATACTTTTAATATAAATTTAATAAAAGTAGTCTTTTTCAGCTTATAAAAATATATATTATATTTTTAAAGTCTCTTGGTAGCATTTATTTGGTAATAATTCCCAAGTTTTTAGATGCATAACGCTGTGTTGGCTTATTTTTAATTTACTTTACTATTGGAGAGATAGTCTTAGAATTATGTTTTTGAGAATTGTAATTGAAAATTCTCATTAAAGTGGCCAAACAACTTTGTACCCTATGCATTTGGAAATAATCTTTCCTAGCCTTGTTATCTTACCACCATAGTTCAAGCTGTGTTCGTATCCTGCTGAAACTACATACTACACCAGCTTTCTCACTGCTCTCCTCACACTTTAGTTCCCAACACAATGGCCAGAATGACTTTTAAAATACAAATCTAATTGTCACTGTCCTATTAAAACTTAGTCACTTCCCTTTTACTCTTAGAGTGGCACCCACATCTTATCCTTGACCTAACAAATCTTTCTGTTCAGCTTCTTCACTGACTTCTGCCTAGTGCCTCACCCATAATGCTTCAGTTACACAAGGCCTTGCTTACTAAGAGAGGGCTTGACAAAAATTTCTCCAAAAGGTCAGCTAGTAAATATTGTGAACTCTGATTCACCTGGTCTCTGTTGTATCTCCCTAACTCCATTGTTTAGTCCAAAATCAATCATACATAATCTGTAAATGAATAGGCCTGCCTGTATGCTAGACTATGACTTCTGTAACTTTTGTGTGTCATGAAATGGTCTTTTGATTTTTTAAATTATTTATTTAATAATCACATAATTAGAAGAAGTGTTTTCATTACAACAGCGTTGACATATTCAGTAACAATTTCCAGAGCTAAGATGCATCTCTTTCAAAATTGGCTGTAAATTTTTAGGTTTACAGTTGAATTAATACAGTTATACAATTAAGACATAAAATTAAATGAGGTTTTAACCTTTAAAAAAGAGCTCCATTTCATTATTAAAATATACAGTTTCATACAGAAAAAATTCATTTTTAATGCAATTAACATGCAGATGTTTGCACCTGTGTTTCTAATCTCTATATATCTGATTATTACTAGTCACATTCGGTTACTTTCTGAGCTCCTTGGCATCTGAGCATGGATATAAAGTCATCAGGTATCAGGTAG